TATTGAGTAAATCTGGATCAGTACTTTATACATGCATGCATGGAAACAATATGGCTCAAATCTCAAAGTGGGGGTGCAACTTTTTATATCGACTAATCAGGGAGATATAGTATGCACCTCATACAGAGTTCTCTAATAAAGAACATCCGTCCCGACACTAAAATATATTGAAAGTCACCACCACAAAGTCTGTGCAACGAGCAAGAAAAAGGTATAGCGACCACGATGGGACTCGAACCCACAATCTTCTGATTCGAAGTCAGACGCCTTATCCGTTAGGCCACGCGGTCAGCTCATATTTGCCCTTCACAGATGCTGTAGCTCAAATTAGACGAGTATATTTTAGCTGGTTAAAATTCAGTTTGCGAAACAAAAGAAATAGCGACCACGATGGGACTCGAACCCACAATCTTCTGATTCGAAGTCAGACGCCTTATCCATTAGGCCACGCGGTCAGGTTGTATGAGATAGCCGCGGACAGCATGCCTCAACCTCCCACAGCATGCTCTAACCGTCTGAGCTATGGTACCAGGCCGAACCTAGAAGGCGCTGACGAGTTTTTCACTCCAACGGCAGCTCACAACACAACATTACCTTGGCAGAAATATTTTTGGTGATTAGCAAGAAAGCACTGACCACCATGTTGGGACTCAAAACTCACAATCATCTGATTCGAAGTCAGACGCCTTATCCGTTAGTTAGGCCGCGTACGCGGTCAGCTTGCAACTGCAATATTCCTATTAAAAGACCTCTTATCTTTTCATTTCATTTGTCTTCTTCCCTCTCGAGTTGGGTGCGCGATTCTTAAGTTTAAAAAAGCCATACAGGAAGTCTACAAATTGTCGACGTGTTCAAACTATACTGGGCTTGGTGCTGGCTGACTGTACTGGGTTTGGTGCTCACTGACTCACGACGCTCGACCTTCTTTCAGTAGCACTGAGTGTACTAGCACTGTGCATACATATGCGCCGTGATGCAGTCAAGTGACGCTATGACGGCAGCACGCGCACTCCGCACACTCTGCCCTGAGTTGAATACGGGCTCCTACTGGGCTTGCTCTCGTGTTGTAGCCGTGATGTATTCGCAGCCTGGTCGCAACAGTCCATTCTCTGAGACTTGGTTTTTACTATTTTGAGGTACAGCATCATCAGACTGTGATCATGGGCTGACCGCGTGGCCTAACGGATAAGGCGTCTGACTTCGAATCAGAAGATTGTGGGTTCGAGTCCCATCGTGGTCGCCATTTTTTTTTTTGTCCCGTCACTGAATTTTAACCGCATTATACTCCAAATTGAGCTTCAGCATCAGTAGGTGGCAAACATGAGCTGACCGTGTGGCCTAGCTAGGCCCATTCACAAATTAAAACTTTTCGCGACGCCACGTGCGACACCTGCGACAAGCTGTGACTGTGGCACACAGTTTATGATCTTTTTTTGGCGTTAGCGATATCCCAATGCACTAGTAGTACTTTGCATGTGCACTGCACGTGCACCCAGAGTAGAAACCTGCACTCCATTTATGTACGTCGCATGTCGCAAAAGTTGAACATTCTTCTGCGACAGGTACCGTGCGACAGCTCGCGACGGGCATTTTTTTGTCGCGACTGTCGCAAGTCGCGTGTCAAGTCGCGAAAAGTGGTATCAAGAGTCCATAACCCCCCAGAGTGTGCAACTCCAGGTTGGGGTCTGGGGCAACGAAATCCAAACATTGCGTCATCCGGTCCATAGTCAAGCATGGGCGGATGGGGCCATGTGCATATCTGGTACATCCGCTACTCACTACATGACGTATGAAGTTTGGATTTCGTTGCGGCACTGATTTGTGCTGAGAAGGATCACGAGTTGCACACTCTGGGGGGTTATGGACTCTTGGTGGTATTGTGAATCGGTCTTTATGGATAAGGTGTCTGACTTCGAATCAGAAAATTGTGTTTGAGTCTCATCGTTGTCTCCATTTCTTTTCTCTCCCCATCTGAATTTTGACAAGCTAAAATATACAGTCGTCCCTCTCTAATCCGGCACCTTTTGCAACGGCATTTTCTCCTGGATAAACAAGGGTGCTGGATTATCAAATCCTGTCCTCCAACCCGGCCCACCTACTAACATACATGTTTGTGTCGTACGTCAAGACGCAGGGATTTTCCGTGTCAATCCAAGTACTTTGTGGAGTGCATGTCTATACAGTGCATAGGATAATCCCAAGTGTATGTTACATGTGTGGAATGCTCCCTGATAAGTAGTTCATGCACTGACCAAACTGACATAGCTGTGCTCCCGTACGGTATGCGATGTACAACTGCTGGATTAGAAAACCGAATTATGTGCAGTTTGAGCGATTTGTTGCGGAAAATCGCTGCTGGAGGCGGAATTCAAGTGTCGGATTAAATCGTAGAAAATGAACTGAACAAATCCGTTTTGCCAGAAAGTGTGCTGGTTTGCAAGGGTGCTGGATAAACAAGTGTCGGATTAGAGAGGGACGACTGTACTCTAATTTGAGCTACAGCATCAGTGGAAGACAATCATGAGCTGACCGCGTGGCCTAACGGATAAGGCGTCTGACTTCGAATCAGAAGATTGTGGGTTCGAGTCCCATCGTGGTCGCCATACTTTTTGTTTTGTTTCGTTCACTGCATTTCAACCCATTGCAATAATTATATTCTAATTTGAGCTACAGCATCAGAGGGGTCAAACAGGAGCTGACCGCGTGGCCTAACGGATAAGGCGTCTGACTTCGAATCAGAAGATTGTGGGTTCGAGTCCCATCGTGGTCGCCATACTTTTTGTTTTGTTTCGTTCACTGCATTTCAACCCATTGCAATAATTATATTCTAATTTGAGCTACAGCATCAGAGGGGTCAAACAGGAGCAGACCGCGTGGCCTAACGGATAAGGCGTCTGACTTCGAATCAGAAGATTGTGGGTTCGAGTCCCATCGTGGTCGCCATACTTTTTGCTTTGCTTTGTTTCGTTCACTGCATTTCAACCCATTGCAATATATTCTAATTTAAGCTACAGCATCAGAGGGGGTCAAACAGGAGCTGACCGCGTGGCCTAACGGATAAGGCGTCTGACTTCGAATCAGAAGATTGTGGGTTCGAGTCCCATCGTGGTCGCTATATAATTTTTTTGTCTCGTTCACTGCATTTCAACCCATTGGAATATATTCTACAGTCTGTTTCGTTTGTTGTAAACCAGACGAACATGTACGAGTACCGACGTCAGTGAGTTGTCATTTTTCATGCTTTCGCGCGGAATATTTCTTCGAGTTCACAGTGAGTTTTTCCAGGCAGCGCTCGAGCGCTCATACGGTAAGACGGCAAACTCCCCGGGCGATCACCAGGATTGCTAATCTTTTTGAAACTGACTATAATTTGATCTACAGCATCAGAGGGGGTCAAACATGAGGCGTCTGACTTCGCATCAGAAGACTGTGGGTTCGATAGATCCTTTAAAAAATAATTCATTTCCTATTGTGTGTGTGTGTGTGTGTGTGTGTGTGTGTGTTTTCTGCAGGGTATGATGTATCCGACCGTTCTGTTCGGTGTGTTTGGCAACGTTGTTACGTTCGTCGCCAACATCGTCTGTGTCAAGTACCTGGGCCTCGGCGTCAAGTATGTCACTCTTTTCACTGTTGTTGTTGTCGTTTTCATGCCGACCGTGTTTGTGGAGCAAGTGGTGTAGCAAGATGGAGCGACGGGTGTGTGTGGTCCCCTGTAGCCTAATCGGTGGAGCGCTGTCCCGGAAAGACATGGGTGCTGGGTTCGAATCACGCTCGTGGATCCTTCTTTTGCGACAGTAGAATGGATGTGTTTGCAATTGCATACATGCTGTGTGCTGGGTAGTGTCGTGCGCCGAAGAACGGCCAGGCTAGAATTTCACCAAGCACAGCATACCAATGTATACACGGTGACTCAACTGCCCATAGACTGTAATACATGAAAAATAAGAGGATGCCCCCCCCCCCCCCCCATTCTGCGGCCACTGCCAGTACTGTGAGGTTGTTATGGTGTGCTCTTCGCCATGGTTACGCAGGGGTGTGTCGATTGGCTACTTGTGTGGAATGACCTCGTACCCGATCATCGCCTGGCTCTACATCTGGAAGCGGAAACTTTACGTGAACACGTGGGATGGTGAGTGATGCGCAAACCGGCGATGGTGCAATGTGATCGTGTTTTCGTCTGTTTGTTTGTTTGTTTAGCTTTATTTTTACTTCACCATAGGCAAGGGAAAATCTGCAGTCTCACTGGGCGTATTGCCACAGTTTCGCAAAATGATGAAACGTCTGTTTTCGGGCATGTGCGTGTACGTTTAAGTGTTGTATTATGCATGCGTGCGCTCGTCCCACTCTACCGTAAAAGTCCGTAAATAAGTACGTATTTACTTTCGAATTTAGGGACCACACCCGTACTAACTTTCGGGCGGGTAGTGACTTTCGGGCACGAACTAACTTTCGGACCTGACTTGTGTGTAGTGGAGAAGTCACTTTTCATGTAGATGTACATGCTATGTGCTGCATGTTTGCACTGTACCGGTACTTATTTCGGGCAGTATGTTTATCGGGCTTGACTTGACTTTAACAGACAGAGCCAAAAGAATGAAGGGGGTATTTCTTTCGGGCAGGTACTTATTTACGGACTTTTACGGTATATGCATCCAGCCAGATGCATTCGGTTCATGTGTACGTCGCCGCATCATGGACGCTTACGTCATGCATTGGTGCATCATGGACGCTTACGTCATGCATTGGTGCATCATGGATGCTTACGTCATGCATTCGTGCATCATGGACGCTTACGTCATGCATTGGTGCATCATGGACGCTTACGTCATGCATTGGTGCATCGTGGACGCTTACGTCATGCATTGGTGCATCATGGATGCTGACGTCATGCATTGGTGCATCATGGACGCTTACGTCATGCATTGGTGCATCATGGACGCTTACGTCATGCATTGGTGCATCATGGACGCTTACGTCATGCATTGGTGCATCATGGACGCACGCCTGATCATGTAGCAAGCATGCTGCTTCTGTGGTGGATCTTTCCTTTTGTTGTCTTTTGTTCAAGGCAGAAATCACTAGCTACTTCAAGGAGCAGAATGGAGAGGGGGGGGGGGGGGGGGGGGGGGAGCATTTATCAATTTGCGCATTAGGCTGACGGGTACTGCAAAGGGGCCACAACTCTTTGTTATTTTTTTCTGCTAAAAGGGAAAGGACAAAATGTTACGAGTTATGACTAACTGTCCAAAACAGGTAGTCATAACTCGTAACATTTTGTCCTTTCCCTTTTTTTAATACCATAATCAATTTGGCCAACCATCCGAGTTCAACTCATTTTCTTTCGCCTTGTATTAGGTTTGAAGTGGGAGAGTATTCACGAATGGAAACCGTTCACGCATTTGGCCATCTCCGGGCTGTTGATGATTTGTATTGAGTGGTGGACCTACGAGATCGTGCTCCTTCTTTCAGGTACGGTTGCACACTGCCGTGTGTGTGTGTGTGCGTGTGTGTGCGTGTGTGTGCGTGTGTGTGTCCCATATGGTGCAGTGGTATGTGCAGCGATTTCCAATCGATAGGTTGCGGGTTCGATTCCCGACGATTATGGTCACACACGTCTTTCTTCTCTTTCTCAGACTCCTCCTGACTTTTCTTTCATTCTCCTGGGTGGTTACCAACAGCCAGTGCATGCCGGAGTATGTGGTGTGATGTGTGTGCGGGAAAAAAATGAAAAAAGACCAAAAAGTAGGGATTCACTGGCCAGAAAAAGCCACTTCATAGCTGTGTGGTGTAGACCAGGCTGAATAGTGGCGGCCAATTCTTCAGCCTTGCAAGCTGTTGAATGGTGCAATCCCAGCACACGCTGCTATGGCTTCGGCTGTAGCATCGCTATCATTGCCTCCGGCGATGGGCGTCAAATGGTCAAATGGTGTGCGTGTGCGTGTGGGGTTGTCTTTTATGTCCGTGTGTGTTCGTATGTATGCCTGCATTTGTGCATGTGTTTACGCGTGCATTTCTGCATGCCGCAATTTATGCGTTCAATTAAACTCCCCGGATCCGGGCACGTCCGTCTCCTTTCTGACCTCATGCCAAGTCCCGAATTTTGGCTTTTCAATGAAAACATTAAAAAGAAATATTTTGTATGCTCCGCACTATGGGCGATTCCTATTTACAACCAGTGTGCAGATCCCAACAAGCCGGGATAAGGGGACTTATACAGTAAAACTGGGAATTTTCAGTGGTGTACCGTAAAACCCCGCCAGAGCGCCCCGTCTCTCCCATCCGCCCCTCCCTGACTTCTTGTCAGGGACGTGATTGATTGTATCCTCGTATGACTCTGTCGCAGTCTGTGATGCCGTACTGCACTGCAGACGCGTGCTCGACCCCGTTGGAAATGTACGCAACAGTGCCCACCCTCCTGACCAGGGATCGCACAAACCCTGCGTTTTGTCGGGTCTGTTCGACTCCTGGCTCTTGTCTTGACCTTTGGTCGGTGTACGAGATGCATGAACAGTTTTCGTAGGGTGAGTACTTTTTCATGTTGCACTGAATGCGGCAAGTAGGACTCGCCCATCCGCCCCTCCCCACCTGAAGCGTCGAGGAGGTAGGGGCGCTCTGGCGGGATTTTACGGTAATATGTTCGGTATTCCCAAAATCAACGGTTCGCTAGTGCGAAAATTTCGGTAAAAGACGGTTTTCCTGATCCCAAACTGCATTTTGCACACCGTGTGACATGGAATTGTTGAATTTTAGGTTGCCTTTTTATTTTAGGTGAAATCTACCTGTACCGAAGTTACCGAAAATAAATCTCCAGCAAAATTTTCCGGTTTTACAGTACCAGTACTGTGATTGTTGCTGGATGTGTCAGCAATCGTGTCTGTGTGTCACTGTTTGTAGGTGTGCTAGGGGATCTAGCTATCGCTGTCAGTGTTGTGGTCTATCAGCTGTTTGTCATCACGTTTATGGTCAGTAGTTGCTGATGTGTGTGTGTGTGGGGGGGGGGGGGGGGTGCATGTGTGTGCGTGCGTGCGTGTGTGTGTGTATGTGTATGTATGTGTGTGTTTGTGTGTGTGTGTGGGGGGGGGGGGTGTATGTGTGTGTGTGTGCATGTGCAGTACTGCCAAACCGTCCGATCTTTCGGACAGTGTCCGATTTTTGAAGGCTCTTCCGAAAACCGGTCCGAAAGGGAAACGTCCGAAAAGCAGCCAAACTGTCGGAGATCATTACTTCCCTATGCAGAAGTCCTGCACTTTCACTTTTCAGCGCAACTGAAGGCACAAATCACTGTACATTTGCTTCTAAAAAGGCTAGCGCTTGGCTGTGGAAGTGCAAAGTAACATGCCTGGATCAGGCTGGATGGCATGTACGCTGACAGTCTCGTACAGAGTCAGTGTGCGACCACACTCATCATTACAAAATTCATGAAAACTCCGGGGTTACTATGGCAACAACGCGAATTTTCATGGTGTTTTAGGCGATATTTTGAATTCTCTGTAAAAAAATTGCCGAGGAGAAAAATTCGCACCATGTGGCCAGCCTTGGCGGTGAAGGGTGTCCGATTTTGGGCGAAAATTATTTGGCAGCACTGCATGTGCGTGTGTGCAGACGCGTGTGCTCACACAACGCGCGTGCACATGCGTGTCACTCGTCCGCATGTACATGTGTGACATTTCACACGTGTGTGGTTGAGCGGTGCAGGGAACAATTCCAACTTGATAGTTTTGCTTACTACTGTCCAAAGAGTAGATACACAAGAGTGTGCAACTCGCGGATGGGTTGGCCCACGGCGGAGTTTTTTAGTCGACATCATCTTTTCTACGACGCACGCGCTGCGAGTCTTTTTGGAAAGTTTTGCCTCGTGCACTTGGCCGGCTTTAAACTACAAGGTCGGTGCCCAGCACGTGCTCTCACACTGCTCTGCGGCAGAATGCTCTGTTTTCTGAAAAAGGTGACGTCAACCTAAATTTCCACCGTGGGTCGGGGTATCTTCAGATTGTGCAGAAGAGATGCGGAGTTGCCCACTCTTGTTTATCTACTCTTGGTAGTGTAAACATCGCATTTCTGCACATGCTGGAATCATGTTGTGTTGTGAAATGGTCTGCTAGTGTCGCGGACATTGAAATCCATTGAGAAGACAAGCGACCACGGGGAGCTGGCCTTGCAGCCGCGAGCACTGCTGGTCCATTATTATTATTATTATTATTATTATTTTTTTTTTTTTACATCATGTACTTCCAAAAGAAGTACATGAACTACACTCGACAAGGCACAACAACAGAGACCAAAACACGTTCTCGTTACTCCGAGTGTCGTGTTAAAAAACACGACACTTTTCGTGTTGAAAAACACGACACTCGGAGTAACGAGAACGTGTTTTGGTCTCTGTTGTTGTGCCTTGTGTAGTACGCTCTTCCCTTTTTGAGGTAGTGAGCACTATTAGCAGCAAGGACTTCAGACACTTTGTGAACTACGGTGCATGTACTTCCTCCGGTAACAAAAACTTCGTGATGGATTTCGGAGGGGGTGATTTGGGCACAAACTGCCGTGCAATGAGTCGCAATCACTTTCTTGCCCTTCCCTGGCATGCCAAGAAAGAAGTACGAAGCAAGGAAATCGACCTTTCACAACAAGTCGAGCGGAATCGATGGTTGCGCTGTGGAAACGTAGGTGATGACAGTCTTGGCGAGCGAAACTGAAATACCACTTCTCCGAGGGGATATTGCGCTGCTTGGCCTCTCTACCACTTTGGCACTAAGTGAGTTGGAGAGCAATAGAGAGCGATAAAACGGAGCAGCGAGCCCACATAATGAGCGAGTGAACAAGGACCTGCTCAGATCGCACGGCTCAATGAAAACTAATTCTGAACTCAAGTTCTTGTTCAAACTGCGCAAAGCCCAGATTCGAATGCTGATGACCATGCATTCTTTCAGAAGTCTGCAGTCCGATGCGAGTCTCATGGCTAAAGAAAGTCGACTGGACTTGCTAGCCGCTGCCGTTCAGTTCTGGCAGGGGTATCCATTAGAGAAAATGGAATCAGTTTGGCTGTGCCTTTACTCCTCGTTTCCCGGAGTTCTGGAGAGCGAAGATGAAACCAGGGAGTCGTAAAATATTTTTCACGACTCCCTCGTGGAAACGAGTAATCACCATCGCGGCGGATCACGCAGCTTGAAAGCCAATTTACTTGACCGACGGCGACATCAAGGTCAGCGGAGTGTGATCAAAGAAGCCGAGGCAAGGCTGAAACGAGCTGAACAACGACTCGAGAGAGATGACGACTCGTGTGCAGCAGATGACGACTCGCGGGGCAGCAGATGACGACAGCGACGCAGGTCAAAATGAGTCGAGCGAAAGCGACGCAAACTGAACTTTCTGCTCTTTCCTCCAACAGTTTCTCTTGTAAAGCCGCTGTACATAGGCCGATTCACCTTCGTCTAGTGATTTGCAGTCGATACAAACTGTTCTTGACCTGTTCTAAGCGTTTTCATATCCATCAAAATCCATCACGAAGTTTTTGTTAACGGAGGAAGTACGAGCTAAGGCGGTAATGGCGCCCGCCACGGTCGTCTCACCGGATTTCAATGTCCACGACCGTGGTACCGTGAAGTTCTGCGAGCGTGCTCCACCACAACCGCCCTTTCGGCGTGGTGCGTTTAGAGGAGGTGTCCTGTCTGTGCGTCGTACAACACACACCTTGTACACACATCGCACGTTGCGCAGTCAATCCGTGCTCAGTTTACCTTCAAGCAGATTCGGGCTCCACACCCCATACAGGGGCGTCGCACACGGTACGGTCACTACGGTATTGACCCTACCACTATTTGCCCCAAGTAACCCCGTGAATCAATAAAATGCACTGATTTGGACTCTAAATTGCCAAAATTTTCGCCTCAGCCATCCCTCCCCCACGGGTAAATTGCACTTTAGTTGGCTGACCGTACCACAGTAAAATACCTTCCCACGCCCCTGCCATAACATGCTTAGCGTAACCTTACTATACTAAGGTTCTCACACCAAACACACTGACGGTGCTGGCAACGGAAATCCGACCTCTCTGGGCGGCGCGTTCACTTTCTAGCGGCCTCTATTTCGGGTCTTTGCGATGTGAGCGCACCGCTGAGTGGGTCGGATTTCAGTTACCAGTACTGTAGTTGCACTCCACTGTACATTTTCCTTTCCCTTTCCGTGATAGCAAGGCTCTCGCGGTACTTTACAGGCATGTGCCACGTATGGGTTCCTGGGTGCCCGGAATCCCCCTTTTTTCGCTCAAAATGCAGGATTTTGCTTCATTTTTGGAAAATTTTCCCACAGGAGGCCCCCAGAACCCCCCCCCCCCCTTGAAGGGCACCGGCGCACACGCCTGCTTTACCGTAATGTCCTTCCCACGTTTTTTGTGGCTGGACAATCAGGACCTCTGGAAGCCGACTGAACTAATTGTGTACAGTCACAGTACATCTTGTGGAGCCCGGTTAGCTCAGTTGGTAGAGCATCAGACTTTTAATCTGAGGGTCAAGGGTTCGAGTCCCTTATTGGGCGACCAATATTTTTTTTCTTTGGTTGTGGGGGGGGGGGGGAGGGGGGCATGAATCGCTGGAAACCCACGCAAGCAAGAAGAGTCTCCGGGGGAGATCGTCCCATGGCGAAGTTTTTTTGTTTTATCAGCACACATGCAAAGGAAAAACAGAAGAAAACTGAACAGAAAAAGTACTATGCTGTTAAACATGCCGGAAATCAGATGGACGGGAAAAAGAGCGTAATTGTACAAATCCGTTATTGGTGGTGGTTATTGAGCCGAGAAGCATGGCCTGATCTCCAACAGCCGTACTCACAAAAAATGTGCGAAAGTGCTCGAAAGGAGGCAAAAAAATGTGGTCGCCCAATAAGGGACTCGAACCCTTGACCCTCAGATTAAAAGTCTGATGCTCTACCAACTGAGCTAACCGGGCTGACTGAGCGCTAGCGTCAGTGTACACAGTAAAGAGGTTAAGATGCACGCTATTTCCGATGTGACGTGCAATTTCGCGTCAAATTTGGCGTAAAACTCCGAATTTCGACGTGAGCTGCAGGTCACTCGCGTTGTTTTTCGACGCACGAGCCAAATAACGCGAGCTGAACTTTCGCGTCACGTCGGAAACAACGTGCATCTTCACCTCTCTATTGTGTCTGACTTCCCTGTACAGTTGGTGCCTGGCTATAAGAGCAGTTTGACGACGAGTACATGACACCCAGAGTGTGCAGCTCTGATGGGTTGCTGTCACGGCGAAATTACTCGATTACATCATTATAGTGATGCAGTGTGTTACAAGCAGGATTCAAGCAGGTCTTTTCTGCACAACTGTAGCTCAGTTGTAAGCACTACACCACTTGCCGCCTCAGATCTGTACCAAATATGATGTTATCCCGGAATTTCGCCGTGAGAGACGGCCATGCAGAAAAAGGCAGAAGCTGCAGACTCTGGATTTCATGTACTCTTGGTTTGGCCAATGTGCCGAAAAAGACGTGCTCCTGTACGACTGGATCAGGGGAACTTTGCAAGTAAATGCTCATTGACACCATAACGGAATGAACGTAATGACTGTTCTGTTCTTTGTGTAAACTTCACTCTGTGTTGTCAGATACCATTAGCGGGCGGCATAGCCGTCAGTATTGCCGTGGGCAACGCACTGGGTGCGGGTGAGCCAGTGCGCGCACGGTGCGCTAGCTATGTTGGTTTCTGCTTGAACTGTGAGTTTGCTGACGTGATCTTTGCTGTGTGTGTGTGTGTGTGTGTGTGTGCATGTTTGCGTGTGTGGGTGCGTGCGTGCGCACGCGTGTGTGTGTCTGGTGTGCATTGGTGGTCGATTCACATGGCTTCGCAGGTTGTGTGGATTGGATAGTTATCTGACGCAAGTCTTGATCTGTCTCATTCAGATCTTGTCCGCTATCGTTGCCATAAGAGAAAATCTGTTTGCGAACATCCAGTGCAATTGTAGATTTGCGTGCTTCTCTTATGACGAGCGTATATATGGTACGTGGTGTGTGTCTGTGTGCGTGCGTGTGTGTTCCTATGCATGCGTACATATGCGAATGCTTGTGTGTGTTTGTTCAGTCACGCTGGCAGTGTTCTTCTGCTGTCTTTACTGGGCTACGCGCTACTACGCACCGTACATATTCTCCTCCTGCGAGTACGTCAATATGTTGTCATGGATACTAGCCGTTAGGCATGCTAGCAATTTCTCTATCGTCATGAGAACAGTAGGAACAGAGCATGCAGCTGCAATGATTTGCTCTTGTGGAAATTTTGTTACTATAATTTCGTGAAGCAGTTGAAGGCACATAGCACCTAGGCTGCACACTTTGGTGTTTATTTAAAGCGCGATTTCTTGGGTCCTACCGCTAGGACGGCATGCAAGCTATCATGAAACTCGTTACACTTTCAACTCTTACAGAACTCTGTGATACTGTTCTCATACTGTACTTATACTGTGAAACCGGAAAGTCTAACGAGTCACAAAGTCTAACGTTTTAACGACCAATTATTTTTCGTTATTTGAAACAATGTTATTGGTAGATGTCTGTGTAAAGATGCGCATACAGATGGGTGGCCAGGTAGCCATCGTTAAACTTTCTGCACGTAACCATGCCAAAATTACAAAAAACGTTTTAAACTGTTTGGTCGTTAGACTTTCCGGTTTTACAGTGTTCCTAATTGTTCCAGTGCTACTGATCCGATCGCTTGTGCACATTGCATATCTCTGTGCCCGGCGTACATGCACATGTGCAGGCTGGTTGTGAAGGGATTCGTTAGCCTGATGAGCATCTTGACGATCACGGTCTTTTCCGATTTCCTCAAGGTGAGAGAGAGAGAGAGAGATGGAGAGAGAGGGAGGGAGGGAGGGAGGGAGGGAGGGAGAGAGAGAGAGAGCGAGAGAGAGAGAGAGCGTGCTCAAGGGCTGCACACAGTCTTGCCTATATGCTGCTTGGTAGTGAGTGTAGTGCCTAGTTGAGACGCTGACACCGAGACCTCTGTTCGAGTTGTTTCTGGCACATTGGCACGTCGTCCCTACATCCTTGTTGTTGTTGTTGTTGTTGTTGTTGTTGTTGTTGTTGTTGTTGCTGCTGCTGCTGCTGCTGCTGCTGCTGCTGCTGCTGCTGCTGCTGCTGCTGCTGCTGCTGCTGCTGCTGCTGTTGTTGTTGTTGTTGGTGGTGGTGGTGGTGGTGGTGTTGGTGTTGGTGTTGTTGGTGCTGGTGCTGGTGGTGCTGGTGGTGTTGGTGGTACTGGTGCTGGTGGTGCTGGTGGTGTTGGTGGTACTGGTGGTGCTGGTGGTGGTGGCGGCATCGCCGTCGTTGTGATTGTTGTTGTTCTTCACCCTGTTTTCCAGTCAGGCTGTGTAAAAAAAAAGGCAGAAGATAACTATATGTACAGTGGTCCCGTTGTAACGTAATCCGGGGTTTCGTTTGTGCTAAGGAAATTCTGCTGGATTAGGGAGTGTGCTGGATTGAGGGGCCTTCTCACCACAACACGACTTAGAAGGGGAGAAGAGAGAAGGGGAGAAGAGAGAAGGGGAAGGCGTGGGGTAAAAAGAACTCTGACTCCTCATTGTGTTGTTCTGATGGCATTTCTCCAGTCAATATGGAGCGGGATATTATTCCATGAAAGACGGGAAACACAGCAAGAGCAAAAACAAATGTTTAACGATGGGTGTGTAGGCACTACATACTGTGCTCATGAAGTGTTGTTCTGGTTTCTGATGGTTTCTCCAGGCCATGTACAGCGGGATATTCCGCGGCGTCGGGAGACAGCGACACGGTGCAATCATGAACTTCGTCAGCTACTACATAGTGGCTCTGCCGCTGGGGATTCCCCTAGCCTTCTACACTGGTCTGTCCTACAAAGGTATGCGGGAATCTTCAGAGTAAACAAAAACTTGTTTTCACGCTTCTCTGTGCTGTAGCATCACAAGTACAAGTACAAGTGTGTGTGTGTGTGTGTGTGTGTGTGTGTGTGTGTGTGTGTGTGTGTGTGTGTGTGTGTGTGTGTGTGTGTGTGTGTGTGTGTGTGTGCGTGTGTATGTGCGTGTGTATGTGCGTGCCTGCGTGCGTGCGTGCGCGTGTGTGCGCGTGTGTGTATATGTGTGTGTGTGTGTGTGTGTGTGTGTGTATCTGTGTTTTGTTTGTTCAGGTTTATGGCTTGGCGTAGGTATTGGTACGCTAGTGCAGGTGGTGATAGCAGTATCGCTGATCTATCGTTTCGACTGGGATGAAGAGTCTCTCAAGGTAGCCTGCTAGTTGCCATGTGTACACACGCACACACATACACGCACACACACACACACACACACGCACACACACGCGCACACGCACACACACACACGCACGCGCAGGCACCACGCACTCACTTCATCCATTTCAAGCAATGTATGGACCCCGTTTCACTAAATTAATACACCTATGTTATCTAGGCATCCAATATTGGGACATCACCATGCCTCCGTTTAGATCAGAGCCGTCTGTTTTATCTACTGCTGTGAACGAGCAGCTCCTTTTGAAAAAAGGCTACAGTAAAACCTGCCATGGCAACCACTCGAATATGGCGACCACTCGAATATGGCGACCATCTGTCCCAGAACACCACGGCAACCAGGACCAAGGGATGTTATTTCCAGTCAAATGGCCGTGGATAAGGAGACCACCGGGTAACAGGGACCGCATTTGGAAGGTTCCTTGAGCGGTCGGTTTAGACAGCTTCCACTGTATTGCCGCCCTGTGGCTAACGACCACCTCTTGGGGCCAGAGAAAGCGGTCTTCAGTGGCAGGTGGTCCTTAGCTAGAGGTTTGCACCGCACAACCGTATTATATGAATGTGAGACTGTCCGTCCGTGCCTGGCGAAGTGGTCCGTAGTACCAGGCGGGTCTCGCTAGTCATCACGGTGGGCTTTAGGTACAGGTTTTACTCTATTGCCATCCTGTGTTTTCTTCGTTCTGCTGCCGATAGGCTCAGCGTCGCGTCGGTGTGGAAACCCCCGTGTTGCTGGAACGTGTTGGCGGCGCTGCGAAGAAAGGTACCGGCTGCGAGCTGCTGACTTACTCGTTTTGGAAATGCTGCAAGCTTGTTCTTGATAAAATAAAAAATAAAAAGGAGAAGGACAAAATGTTTCGAGTTATGACTAACTGTCCACCAGGGAGTCGTACTCAAACTAGGGAGGTGACACGGCACAGAAATCCGTGTCACAGGGGTTGACTCGCACCCGTCACCCCTCGTTGTTATTTTTGGAATAGTTCAGTCCAGTCCAGTCCGAAAGGTCATACTCGGATCGACTCGCCTTCTGTACTTCACCTCCAAGCGTGCCGCATGGGTGTCTAGTTTTTGAAATTATTGAGGCAGCACATTTCGTTTACAGCCCATCACTCGCCAGTATTTGAAAGACTACCAGCAATTTGTTTAGCTCCTGACATGTCCGAACTACTTGATAGCAGTGATGGCAACAGCAGCAGTTATGAGACGGCGTGTAGTGTTGCGGTAACTGTTCAGAACTGTTCAGAGTCGTTTCCTAGGTTAATCCGAATACTAAAAATTGACCCAAATAAAATTAATTGCACATAACACGAAGCTGGTTTTTGAAAATTGTAAGTCGTGTATCTGAAAATTGTAAGTCGTGTATCTGCCCCATTTCTTCTTTATGACTTGCACAATACACCAGTCTTCCTAAACAACACATTTATAGCAGGGGTTAAGTACCATACAAGAGAGCTACATTGTACATCTAGTCATACTCATGGCCAGCAATCGAGGACATCTGAGAGTTGTAATTTTTGTACTCCTCCGAGGTGTGATTTTTGGCGTGCTGGGCCAAGCACAAGGAAGCCATCTGCAAAAAAACTGCAGAAAATGGTTGTTGTTTGATCCTTTGGTGTAATCTTTGTTTCTAGTCGAAGCTAGTTGCTGTTTGGAGCAGAAACGCTGAAATTGACTATTTTCTGCATGTACTCATGTACTCAGGCATGCAGTCTCACTCGTATTTTAGCTCTTTTTTCTGGAATGGATGCTGCTCTGCGCCCCTTGGTGAACATTTCCTGCGCTCGTGGAGCAGCTGAAAAGGACCACTGGTATGTCTGGTTCCTGGTTTGAAAGTGGAGAGTCGACTTTTGTGCCTTGAAAAAGGAGTAGAGAGCGATAAACGTACGTCTGTGGCTTATTTTTGAGTGCTCCTCGTACATTTTTGATCGTGATAGAAATTCTCAGACCAAAGTCAGACCAAAGTCAGCGCGATGATGGCCGTACAGTTTTCTTGTGGATTTTTTAGTTGTTTCATCTCGTATCTATGTCAGTATCGTGATGGTGAAGTGGAGAGGGTGATTTTCTTCCTCTAGGCTTCGTTCGGCCGACTTTGCTTCGTCCTCGTTGAAAAGTGATCATGAAAAAAGGTCGATTCGCAAAATTATGTTGATTTTCAATGTACGTGATGACATGCGATTGCTGGCTATGCCAATGGCAAAATCGTTCGCCACAGAAAAATCATACTTTGCGGGTCTTGCGTTGCACGCTTGGAGGTGAAGTACAGAAGGCGAGTCGATCCGAGTAAGACCTTTCGGACCGGACTGGGCTGAACTATTCCAAAAATAACAACGAGGGGTTACGGGTGCGAGTCAACCCCTGTGACACGGATTTCTGTGCCGTGTCACCTCCCTAGTTTGAGTACGACTCCCTGGTGTACACCAACGTATCCAGATCATCTACAGTCAGCTCGTGACTCGTAACATTTTGTCCTTTTCCTTTTTTTTTACCATAATTAAATTGGCTTGTTCTTGAAGCAGCGTGTTCGGGAGCCGAATGCATTTTTTAAATTTTTTTTACAAAGACCACTTAAATTACTTTCGACAACACGGCGATGCATGTTGTTTCTCATATACCGTATTATCTCTAATATAAGCACGGTCCTTTATTTTTTCAATGTACCTCCGCCCCGTGCTATTAATGGAGACGATCCATTATTGGAGACTGGTCCATTATTATTTCAACCTCATTTCAGAGGCATGCTGCAATGCCAAATTCATGTCAGACACACACATTTCTGGGTTTTTTTCGCCGGTACAGATAATGAATTTACACAGTGTGCGTATAATGGAGACTGAGCACTTTATTTTTTGAATGCCGCCCCAAGGTGTTCTATTATTGGAGACGTGCTATTATTGGAGACTGTGCTTATATTAGAGATAATACGGTACCGTAGAATCCCGCGGATAAGCCCATGCTCGCGCATAAGCCCAGGGAAAGTTCGAACATTACAAGGCTTCGTCGTACAAGCCCATGGGCCTAATTCGTACCGAGAGTCCATAAATTATGGACTCTTGGTCGTACCATGTACATGTACGCAGTACATGGTAGTTTTTTTTGTACATTTCAACACAATCATCGGTTGTTTTTGTTTGCACAGTGGCTTTCAGCAATGTGCTTCTCACTTCCTTGGTACTTTTCAATAGCACAATGTTGGTGTCAGCGTATAAGCCCATGCCCGCGTATAAGCCCATGTTCTCGTATATGCCCACCGAAATGTCCTTGTGAAACAGTGGGCTTATCCGCGGGATTCTACGGTATAGAGCTTCTTCATGCCTTGGTCATGTGATTGCACTTGAAAAAAAATGCAATGGAAATGAGAAATGAGCGTAGACACCTAGGCACCACTGTAGTACAATACCAGTTGTGACAAGTTAGCTGTGAGAGATGAAAAGGATGTGGAAGGACAAAAGAACACAACACAAGAACACAGTCTTGACACAGCCGAGGACAGGCTCCAGTAAGAGGCTATTAATTTTACAAAACAGAGTGGCACCACTTGAGCACCACTTGAGCACCACTTGAGCATCACTTGAGCAATACCTGAGCACCACTTGACCAATACTTGAGCATCACTCCAGCATCACTTGAGTATCACTTGCGTGGCATGGTCCGTATGGATTGCATTTTGGTGTTGAGAGAGAGTTGGGGGGGGGGGGGGGGGGGGGTTAACACAGTACGGTGACATTCCGCGTATACTTCAGCATGCTACAAACCAGTGTACAGCAAGCTTTGTGAACACGCCTTACCGAGACGGAACTGCTCTGTGTGAATGCATTTCGCAATTTGCAACATTCTGACAAGCTCCCGGCACCACCCGGGAACGTGCGTACCAACGAAACGGTTGGGCATCACCGTGTACTGTAAGCAGTCAACACGGCCACAGTCCAGTGCAAGTGTCGTGTGGACAAGCCCGGTGTGCTTCAGTTGTCCAGAAAGGGGTTGCACAAGCTGTGCTTGTGTGTAGCACCAGTAGATACCGTCATCCTCTGGCAGCCATGTAGGCCTCGCCTGTACACACTGTTTGACTGGGAAAGAGTCCGTGTCACGCGGACCACTGTAGCGTGAAGTCTCACTGTACTGCTCATGACACGTGCATGTATTGTTCTTAGTAGATCTGGTCTGTGCATGCTTCTGCAATACCTGTACTACAGTGTTACTCGCTTCACTGCACATTCCCACGCATGCGCTCGCTCACTGCATCATGTAGTGCATGAGGTAGTGCTCATGCGGCCCTTTCCTTTGTGTTCAGTTGTGTTAGAAACAAGTAACGTTGGTTGTTCTTTTTTCTTACTAAACGATCACTATCAGTGTTTGAGTTGATAATAACAACCTTCCTCTCACAGCCAGTCCTGCTGTTATTATGGTTCTATTATTGGGGATCCAGCCCTGATAACAGTCCTATTGTATTGTATTGTATTTTATTATTTAACTTGGGCATTCCCAACAGATCCCATTGGCGCGGGCACACCAGTACAAAACCCGTTCCAGGCATCGTTTCCTATTTCACTCACCACAACTACAGTAAAACGTGATATTCTCTGTGTAACTTTAATTTCGCTGGTTTCGGTAGTGAAAACAACAACCACCTGAATTAAGATTAGGGGTCGTCCGTAAATATCGATGTTTTTTTAGAGACGATATTTGTTCATATCTCCCCAGACCCCCCCCCCCCCCCCCTCTAATACGAACATGCATACATTTAATATTTATGCAGTGGACCGATATTTTGTATATTGAACGGTTCGTGTGTACAGGTAGGTACATAATACGTGCTTCAGTACTAGTAGTAGTACAAGTCACAAAGTTCAAGTGCCTGCAAGGCCCTGCATGCTGCATGGTGCACGAGCCGCAACAAGCAAGTACAAGGTGCATACCTAAAAATAGCGTATGTGAAGATCGATATTTTTCCGCCAAAAACAACGAACAGCGTCAAAACCCCCTCCCCCCCCCCCCATACGAACGAATATCGTCTCTAAAAAACATCGATATTTACGGACGGCCCCTTACATATAAAAGGCAGTAGAGTACTGCATAAGCAGAAATATTCGTCTGGAATTTAATTTCGTCCTTTTCGTCCAAGGAACTTTTGGACTAAATTAAATGCCGGACTAATGTCGATTTGTCCAGCTTTTCTATACACTCTTCTGATCCATGGACGAAATTTTCAACCGGACGAACTCCCTTTTGTTTGGAGTTGGACGAAAGTATTGACCGACGAAATTTTCTGCCTGTACAGTATAAAAGGTACTAGAGTATGCACGGTATGTGAACTGAATGTTGATCACCTAATTCTGCATTGCACCTGAAACCTGGCAGGTCCGTGGTACCGAAATTTAAATACACTAAAAATGACATGTTTTACAGTATTTCCTTCCTCTTCTTCTGATTCCGTGCCTGTGTTGTCTGTAGGTCGCAAAGGGGCAAGCAATGGCAGTGCCGCGGCAGAGGAGCACGTGGAGCTCGTGGCATTCCGGCGACTACCAACAGCCGGCGATGACAATGATGATGACGTTGACAACAGCAGCGAACGTTATACCATCGACGCCGAGTCGCGGGCCACTAATCTCAGCGTCAGCTCCAACGTGGATGATGATGAGGATGACGCCAGCAGTGTGAATAGCGACCTACGTGTGGTCCGTCTGGATGCAGACGATCAGGAGCTGCTACCGGACTCGCCGGCGCCTGCATCGCCTACACCGCGACCTCCACGCTATCGGGGAGTGCCGGATCGGCGTACGCTGATCAACCGTTTCATCTTCATCGCCATCTCAGTGACGCTGTGCCTCCTCGGCATCGCGCTGCGCGTCTTCGTGCCGCTGCACCGCACCAGCAGGGACTATGCGCAGAGCGGTTGCCCTGGCGACGTGGTCAACGGAACCATGGCAACGCCACCGCCGTCGTTCAACACCAGCGACGCGTTCAACACCAGTGGTGCAGCGTTGGACCTTGCTGCCATGCCCATCTCCCCTGCCGGCTGGTCGTTGTTACCGGAAACGCAATATCGTGTGTGCAGCGGCTTTTCCTAGGGGTTTGCCTGCGCCCGATACGGGCTGCAAAATGAGAAAGACAAGCTCTCGCTCTCTTTTTACTCTCCTCCGTCGGTTTCTGCTGCTGTTGAGTGTGGGGTGATGTCTTGCGCACGTCCGATACACTCGGCGGAGGCTATCCTTCACCCTAGCGAGCAGGTCGGGCGACGAAACCGTATCATGGTTCGTTTCGGCAATGCGAAAAGACCCTGCGTGAGTGAGAGTTCTGGCTAGGTGGTGGCCTGTACAAGTGTACTGCTTATATGGCTAATGGCTCAATCTCGGGCTTGTCTGTTTTATATTGTTTGGGGCATACGTGCTCATTCTGGAAGTGAGCGTTCTTGTTCCAGGAGTGTGTGTTCTCATTCCGGAAGCACTTGTTCCAACTCCGGAATCATGTGCTCTCACTCTAGAAGTGGGCATTCTCGTTCGGGAAGCGTGTGGTCTTCATCAAGGAGTGCACTGCCAAGCAGTGATCATGAGATCACCACCGCATGAGATAGTCCGGTGATCTATGTTCCATCTGTCTGCTGCCAAAATCAAATGTGTGTGTGTGTGTGTTTGCGCGCGTGTGCGTGCGCGTGCGTGTGTGTGTGTATGCGCGCATGCGCGCGCGCGTGTGTGTGTGTGTGTGTGTGTGTGTGTGTGTGTGTGTGTGTGTGTGTGTGTGTGTGTAGAGTTGCATATGCGATATGGTGCTAGTGAGCAGTCACAGCGACCATTCCTACCTATTTCATTATTCTGTTCGATTATTTTGCTTTTTGAGAGAAGTGAAAAGAGAAATGTCAAAGAACTAGCCGACTGTCTTTATCAAGACCCAAACCAGGGACCGTCGTTACCATGGCTACAGGCCAGTGATGCTCTACCATTTTAAGTCATGGAGTCGTTATTTTATTTTTTTATTCCACAATCACGATGACATAGTGCCAATAAACATGTGATGCGGGTGATTTTAACCAGGCATGGAGTTATTCTGCTCTGGCAATGTTTTTCTGCTTCCACTGCTTCTCATTGTTTCTCATACCCTTTCCGATACTGTACTGCGATATTGATGGTTGCAATGTTCCAACTGCCCGTCCCGTTGTATTTTACATATGAAAAACCTACATTCATTGTTTGTGTTTTACTCTAAACCTGTCTTACAGAAATGTTCCAGGCTGGCCTGTAATAATATTTTACAAGTATAGGGACAATAGTCCCGAAACGTTGCATCTTAGTTCTTACGCCATGCTTAGAAACATGCCATGAAAGTCCTGACGACCTCTTTTGTACGGAGAATCATATCCGATACTCATTATGACTGAAAAAATAGTAATATATATTTTAGCCTTTTCACAATTTTTTTTCACAATCTACGGGTGATATTTCTTTAGTGTCCGTGTGCTCATGGCTGTAGGCAGGACGCCTGCTAGTAGTAGCGTTATGCATGATGGCCTTTGGGGCGCGGGGAGCTTACCCAGCAGCCTTGTCCCTTGTGTGTGTCTGTGGGGGGGGGGGGGGGGGGTATGTGTGTATGTGTATGTGTGTGTGTGTGTATGTGTGTGTGTGTGGGGGGGGGGGGGGGGTGCCAGCTACAGTGCTGGCAACTGAAATCCGACCCCTGATCACATCGCAAAGACCCAACACGGGATGGTAAAACTACGAAACAACAGGGACCGCTAGAATGTGAACCCACCGTTCAGGGGTCGGATTTCAGTTGCCAGCACTGTAGTTCGGTTGATGGGTGCACTTATGGCAGATAGCTTTGGGTCTGTTGCCAATGGTCTCGCCTGGTATACCCACCCACACTACAGTGAAACCTGTAACTAAAGACCACCGTGACTAGCGGCCAGCATGGTACTACAGTAAAACCTGTAACTAAAGACCACCCTGACTAGCGGCCAGCATGGTACTACAGTAAAACCTGTAACTAAAGACCACCCTGACTAGCGGCCAGCATGGTACTACAGCAAAACCTGTAACTAAAGACCACCGTGACTAGCGACCAGCCTGGTACTACAGTAAAACCTGTGACTAAAGACCACCGTGACTAGCGACCAGCCTGGTACTACAGTAAAACCTGTAACTAAAGACCACCGTGACTAGCGACCAGCCTGGTACTACAGACCACTTCGGCAGACACGGACGGTCTCACGTTCATATTATGGTTGCGGGCTGCAAACCTCTAACTAAGGACCACCTGCCACTAAAGACCGCTTTCTCCGGTCCCAAGGGGTGGTCGTTAGTCACAGGTTTTACTGTACTACAATGGGAGTATGGTTCTCACCAGCAAAGAGTCTCCACAGCCTAGCGAAAGAATCTGTCTTGGGCTCTACACTACTTTTGTTTCCCTGGCGACCGTGGTGTTGCATCCGTTTAGGGCAAGTACGGGTGCCTGATGATTTCATTCCGATGGAGCTGGGGAGAGGAGGCACAACACTCGTGCAGTTTTACAATGTCATGTACAGAGCGGGACAAGTGAGGAGGTGTTGTTGACAGCGCTATACCATCACCAGCGTTTTTAGTGCTTTCAGTTCACAGCCACTCCTAATAGACCCATCGCCCAACGCGATACTTAGCTCTTCGCTACGTTGGTCCCGTTTGGATTTCCGAAATAAAACAAACATCCTCATCAAACGGCGTCGGAGTCGAATCATGGGGAGACGAGCTGAATGACAAGGCACGGCAAGACGCGACAAGCGAGGAACGAAAGGAACCTACGGAAAGATCATATCGCCGATTGACGTCGATACGAATGTGAACGCACTCACACGACCGTACAGACTGGGAAGCGACGAACAGAAAAATCTGTTCAAGAACACCCCTGCGGGGCCCTGCGGCACGGTCCTTTGGACGCCACTGACGTATATGGACAGGAAGAGTGGCTATGATGCGGCTTATGCCTCGCACGATCGCGCCAATCGACACTGAACACCCCAACAACTGCTCCATGTCGTGTCGTATGCGTCGTACACAATTTGTTTTGTTCATGGTTTTAAGGGCAGGACCACTGCTATGCGTTCCTCCGCCTTGTAACATGCTGTCATCGTCAAAAACAATTTACAGCAGTCCTTGTCAAATCGTCTAAAGACCAAGTCTGCTCGTGCTTAGTACCACCAAGAGTGTAAGAATGTCTAGTGGCAGAGGGCTAAGAAATTTTGCAACATTTCTTCCAGGAAGTCCACCATTCCCGATTTGAAGTACAATGATGTCGTTGCAACCACACAGTCTGAGAAAGTGAAGATCCTGGCGCAGCATTTTGCCAACCAATGGCAATGCTCACTGCCATCGGAAGCGAACCAGCACTCATTACAAGAACGGCCGAACAACGCAAGCAACTCCAACTTGTTTCACTTCCACAGGTTTAGTCCAGGACAGGTCCAATATGATCTGACTCATCTGTCCTCTCGAAAGTCTACTTCAGCTACTGTGGTGTGAATCACTGTCTTTTATGTTCTAACAAAGGCTTATCAGCATCCACCTTTCCGACTGAATGGAGGCTGGCTACGGTCACCCACTTGTACAAAGGCAGAGGCAGTACAGCATCGCCCACTAACTAACCACCTATATCGCTCTTGCACCCGATTACAAGTAGTCGCCTCTTCGAGTTTCGCTTGGCATCTAGCCTCAACATGACGTATATCAATCACGGCTCACACATGACGGGTTTACTTGGCTCTAGTAAAAAAATCAACATCAATTGATTGTGGCGAGTCAATTTGCATCTATCCATCAAAGGTCGACAACCGACCAGCTCGTTCTCCTGAGTCACCGGATGGCTGATATCTCAGACACTGGTGGAAAGTTTGACTGTGTTTTCCTAGATTTCCGGAAAGTCTTTGATAAGGTCCATCACCCAACACTCATCAAATGTCTAGAACGATGCATGGATCACTCCACAGTTAAATGGTTCCAGAGCTATCTAGACTCCACAGAAAGCTACAAGTGAAGATAGAGCAGACCATCTGCGCGACTCATTCCGTCACCAGCGGAGTTCCGCAGGGATCGCACCTTGCCCCTCTACTCTTTCTACTGTATATTAGCACGTACCCTCCCTGATAGTCTGCACCATAGTAGCCCCTTTCTGTTTGCAGACGATGTGACTCTTCGGTATGCTCACCACCAGGCATAGTCCCTCGATGAGAATCGGTCTAATGTCCAGCAGGAGCTCAACAGTTGCCCTGCAATGGGCCAGGAGCGTCCATGGTCAGTTCTCTCCGGAGAAGACTTCTTCCCTCTGCAACTACCAACTCCTTACACCATCACCAACCCGTATGGACAATATTCCTATTCGTCACCCCACTTCTGTAGTTCACCTTGGTGCAGAGCTAAGCCCTGACCTAAAGTGTCATAGTCATTTTGCAATCGTTTTCAGAAAGTTCCAGCAAAGAGTAAACCTACTCTGCTATATGGGTCGTCATTTACGTATACAATAAATGAGGAGGCCGAGGATTTATGACCAATAAAAACTATTATAAAAACCGAGGTCCCCCGAGGTTTTTATAATTAGTTTTTATTGGTCATAAACCCAAGGCCGGAGCATTTATTGTATTTAGAATCAACCAGTAAAAACTCCTACTCAATCTCCAACAACAAAATTAGCGGACAGCTGTTATTTGTGTTGCTATGACAACCCGTGTGCTGGACGAGTATTTGTTGTCATTGGTTCAATTTCTTTTAGTCTTCATAGGCTATCAGATCATTTTCCTTATTCGGTCTATTTATAACCAGTATCTATAATGAGAGTGTGGTCTGTCTCCATGGTTACCGGTGTTCATTTCATAACTATAGCCACTGCTCCTTGTTAGACCTTATCTGGAAGGCCCATTCTTGCATATTCCAACAGCAGCCAAGGGAGCTAGCTCTCTTGGTTATGCGGACTGGGTCCGATCCTAAAAAGCTGTTTTTATGAACTGTTTTTATGAACTGTTTTTATGAACTGTTTTTATTGGATAGGATATGATTATGTTCAATAAACGAGGTTTGTGTCAATGGGAGATTGACTTGGAGTTTTTACGAGTTGATTCTAAATCACTATAATATCACCCTCCTCTATAAGGGGTTGGTAAGAGAAAGCGTGGTCGTCCGAAGATTTCCTTTGCTGACAATATCGTTTCGTGGACTGGTATGTCTCTGCATGAGAATTGCCAGTTGGCATCTGACAGAGATGCATGGCAGTCCCACTGTGCATCTACTGCTTACACAGCTGCATAATGCCGTTTATTATTATTTTTAATTTTTACTATTATTATTTTTTCGGCAACGCAGATGATGATGATGATGATGATGATGACTATAAGGGGCAAGTTCGCCCTGCAACTCAATACGCCATTCCAGTGTGGACTTATAGATTAAGTGCTGAGCACCTAGCTAGCATTGATGTACTTCAAGCTAGAGTGTGTAGATCCATTCTAAAGTCCAGTAACACAGCCTTTGATAAATTTGAAACTAAAGAAAATCTAAATAAGCTACGCCATATTCAATCCAAATAATCGACGTGGAGACAACAATTTTATATATTAATAGCAATAAAGAGAACAAATTCTGCTGTCATCGCCACACTACAACGAAGTAATGAAAGTTGACCAAAATCGATTTTCTTGTCACAATCATCAGTGGAAAGTCGTGACTGAAGAGTAACCATCCTGAACTTTCATGACTTCGTTGTGGTGTGGCGATGACAGAAGAATTTGTTCTCTTTATTGCTGTCATATTCAATCCCTTCACTTTAGCCGCCAGTTTCGTTAACTGGTCACCCTCTTTAGATACATCCATTCGAGTCGCACCCTAATTACCTCGCAATGATCCACATTACCGTTACTAAAAGTGAGCGCCGTCCGAACAAACTAGTCTTCCATAGACATGGCCGCACACTATCTTCTATGTTTCTGTTCCAGGCAGGCACTCTGTAGAACTGTCTTCCCCTACTAAAACCTCCATCATAAATATTGCTGAGTTTAAAAGAGAACTGCATAATAGTATGGCTAAGTTTTAACTGCAAAGGTATTCACTGATATTCCTTGTTTTCCTCATTGATTTGCTCACTCTCAGTTGTCCTATTCGTCGTGTTATTTCTCCTCAGTCTCTGCTCACTTTGTATTCTCATACTCTCATCCCAACTGTACAAAATGGAAACCCCCTCGATAGGCATAAACGGCCTCTGCAGACCTGGGGAATCCTTTAAATCACACGCCTCACCCGCCAGGCTGTACGACTGTCCACCGCGCATCCCCATCAGTTACAGAATGTTCTTCCTGCCAATTCCCGGAACAATGTGAGCCGAGCCTTTCCCCACTCTGTCATCCCAATTTGGAACCAGCTGCCTTCCTCTATCATTCCCCACCCATTTCACCCAAAGAACATCCAAAATATCAAGACAGCAGCTTATCACCACCTCCTCAGAACGAACTGGCAGTCTGGCACTGGGCCACTCATAGCATACGCGAGTAAGAGGGTACAGTGTCCTACCCTGCTTGGACATAC